AATCAGGCCGAATGTCTTCCAAAGACCCCCTGTTCCGGGAGAGAGGGGGTTTCAGAGGGTGCTGCCCAGTGCCTGCCTCTTGTGGGCATGTTTGGGGAGCCTTGTGTTTGGGAACGGGGTCTCCTGATTCCGGGCTGCCTGGGAGGCTCCCTAGTACCAGCCCTTCGTGACCCCAGAGCCTGGCGTCAGGGCCGCGTGATGGAGGGTGACAGCGATTTGCAGCTGCAGTTCAGAGGTGCCCTGGGCTTTCCCGCTCCGGCACGGCCTTCCTGCACTCGTTATTTATTTAATCATCTCTTTATGATTCTGGAGGAGCCAGGGGAAGGAAGGGGATGGGGGAGGGGTCAGGCAGAACGACCCTGTCGTGCCTCTCACCCCTGATGGAGCCTCGAATGAACAATGTTCGCATGGGCAGCTGTCAGTCACGGTCATCTGTCTCTGAGGTCGCAGGAGCCGGCCAAGGTCACGGCAGGCCTCCCAGGAGTGGGGGGCAGCGGGGCAGTGCAGGGAATCCAGAGGGCAGCTGGGGTAGGGGCTGGAGGTAACACAGGCACAAAAGTGAAAAGCCAACTTCAGGTTGGACTTGGCTGTCTGGGGCCCCCCACTTCTACCAGAGTTGGTCCCCGGGGCAGAAGAAGCTGGACCCGCAAGGATCCCCTTCTCCTGCCCCCTGCGCCACCCCCCGGCCCCCGCAGGAGGCAAAAGCACCACCGGGGCCCTGGGCGAGAGGGGGGCTACAGCAAGAGTCAGCTCTCAGGACAGAGGCCGGTTGACGAGTCTGGACCTCCGTCCCGAGACCTCCCCTCCGTGAGCCCTGTCTGAGCTGAGGTAGCTTCCTCTGCACAGCCCTGCCCTGCACGACCCCGGCCCCATCTCCCGGGTCCCCTGCTCTGGCCACACGGAGATGGGCTTCGAGGCTGCCCTCTGCCACCAGGCCTCTGTGCCTCTGCCTGGTCCCACCCCGACCCCAGGCCTCTCCAGGCCCGCCCAAGGCCGCTCCCCACTGCACGTGTGCGCGCGCGCGCACACACACACACGTGCACGTGCACATTTCAGAATATCCCGCCCTCCCTTGTCTGTCATGCAAGAGGACTGATGGACAACCTTAGGGCAGCTACTCATGGATCGGCCTTCCCCACCAGCCACGGCCCTCCGCGGCACTCCCTGTGCATCTCTGCGGTGCCGACACGTGGCAGATGCCTGTCGGCTGCCTGATGAGTGAGTGGTTCCCGGCATTTCTAGAAGGACCCATCTGCTGTGTGTCCCCACCCAGCACGGAGAGCTCCATGGGGACCCCCCCCCCCCCAGGGAAGCCGGGATCCCATCCTGCTCTTATGCAGATGGCAGGGGGAGGAGCCTGGGGAGGGGGCGATCACCAGGGGAAAGCATGGCCATCACTTTTGTGCTGTAGAGCCCCCGAGACCCCTAGACGTCCCCCAGTGACGTTTTCTTGGATTTGGAATGCATTATGTGATTTAGCTGTTGTTATAGATTTACCTTCCTAATTATGTTTGGCTTAGAACAATGTTAAAATTGTTTTGCATTCCCTGGGTACACAGAGCCCGGGCGTGGGAGGAGGTGGCTGGGGATGCGCGAGGTGGCAGGGAGAAGATGCTCAGGATGTAAGGGCTGCAGGGATGAGCCACGTGCCGGTAATGAACAATTGTCTGTGCAGAGAGCGCCTGCAGACAAACGGCCATGAGCTCCTGTGGCTGCTGACACCCAGCAGAGCGGGAGGCGGCTGGGAGCAGGTTTGGAGCGCCAGGGCCTGAGCCCAGATGACCAGCGTCTGTCCGTGCCTGCTGTGCGCCAGCCACTGCTCTGAGGATTTTCCTTGAATTGACTCATTCGACCCCACAACCACGCTGATGGGGTGCGTACCGTTGTCTTTCTCCTCTTTGCAGAGGGGTAAATTGAGGCCCAGAGAGGGGAAGCCACTGGCCTGAGGTCCCAAAGGAGACGTGTGGCCCCCAGCCAGGCTTGCATCCTCTGTGTTAGGCCCTCTCCAGCCTAACACAGGAGGTTCTGAACTAGGAGCGTCCACAGGCGACCAGAGACGGGCAGAGGCGCAGGGCGCGGCTTACTCACACGAGGCCCCTGGGAGAGGTTTCTTCTTCCTTCCCTCCCGGGCCTGGGAAGTGGAGACCGTCCCACTTGCAGAAGTCGGTTATTTTCAGGGGTGCACTCCCCCCCGCCCTTGCTGCATGAGAGTCTGCTGCTACTGATGCCCTCTGAGGGTTCGCTGCTTCCCCCAGGGCTCCAGCACTCAGCCCTTACCTGAACCCCCCACGGCCCCAAAGCCCGTTTCCCCATCGGTGTTCCCAAGCAAGACGGAGCTCTCCCTAAAGTTCAGATTCATATGGATTTGAAGCAACATGAATTTAACCCTCTCTTTCCTAAGTAAGATACAGAACGTATCTGGGCCCCCTTGCCCTCTTGGCTAATCCTCTCTTCGAAGTCAGACAGCCAGACCCCTGGGTGCTGAGGACCATGGAGAGCCCCACGCTGTTCCCAGCTTCCTGGATCTGGATGTTCCGGAGAGCATCAGACAGGAGCTGGGCTCAGAAAGATGGAGGTGAGCTGTTACTCTTTTGTGGGCTTGTCTGCAAAGCCGAGCCTTCACTGCCCCTTTTCTCCCAGCTCTGGCCACGTTTGTTGTTTCTGAGTGGACCAGGCTGCTTAGCGCCCCTTCTGATTCCACATTGTCCAGAAATTAGCACAGTTTCACTGTCGGCCTGGTCTCTGTGGCCAGATGCCTGTTCTTCGTCAGTACTGAAGTCTTTGCACTTTGCAGGCAGATCTGGTCCTGCACTAAGGAGCTTGGTCCAGAGGACCTGGAGGCGATGCTGGGGTTTCTCCCCTCCCGCCCGTCGAATCCCCAAACCCGCTCACAGCACCCCAGCGGATAGGCAGGAGAGGTGCTGCTGAGATGCTCCCCTCTGGTTGTCAAGGCAGCACTGAGGATTGTGAAACTCCTCGGGGACAAGAGCATGCCTCTCCATGTTCTCTGCCTGCGTTCCGTCTACCTGGAAGCTGTGGCTGATGTAACTCAGCTGGAGCGTTTAGGGGTGTCGGGCATGGGGGGAGGCACATTATCAGGAAGAGGAGTTAGTGAGCTTTTATGTCCTACTATGATACAAATGTTGGGATTTTTACCCTGTCCTAGAGTCCAGAAAGAGCTGATTTGCTTCCAGCAGTTCCAGATGTTTCCATCTTGGAAGTTGAGGGGCGTGGGTCCGCCAGGTCCTCATCATTTGTAACAGTCAGCTCTTGCTGCGTAACAACTACCCCATAAGTCAGAGTATTTAAACGGTTATAATTCGTAATCGTCGATCCTCATTATTCGTGGATTCTGTATTTGTGAATTTGTTGTCTCGCTAACATTTATTTGTAACCCACAAATCAGTACTGATGGCACTTTTGTGGTCATTTGCGGGCACGCGCGGAGCCAGTGTGGGTGCTCCCAGCTGAGGCGGGACAAGATGACACTCCGCCTTCTTGTTTTCAACTTTCATGCTGGAGACTAATGGTCTATTTAGTGCCAGAGTTTTTGCACTTTTTGTTGGTGATTTTGCTGTTTAGAGTGGCCCCCAGCATAGCGCTGAGGTGCCGTCTGGTGGCCAGAAGCCCTGGAAGGCCGTGATGTGCTCTGTGGGAAAATGCGGGTGTTCGATAGGCTTCATCCAGGTACCAGCAGGCATTGTAGCACTGTTGGCGGTGAGTTCGATGTTAACGAATTGGCAACACATATTAAATAAGATAGCTTTAGCCAGAAGCACACATACAATAGGCTTATGTATTGGTGGGCTGACAAAAACGTTGTGAGAGTCCCGTCCGCTAGGAGCACTCATTCAGTATTCTCCAGTTCAAGGTTAGTGATGACTTTCTGGACCATGACCCCAGGAACCCTCAGAACCGACCGCGTTTTGCTCATGCATCTGCGGGTTGGGCTGGTGTCGGCTCATCTGGGCGCTTCTCCTTCAAGCTGGGGGTTGGCCAAGTGTGGCTACTTGCTCTGTGGGGGGCTCATTCTGGGTCCTAGCTGCCGAGCTGCAGCTTCCTGTGGGCAGTGTTGCTGCCCATGGCACAGGCACAGACGGACACACAGGCCCCTTCAGAGCCTCTGCTTGAATCACACGTGCTGACCTCCCATTGGTCAAAGCAAGTCATGTGGCCAAGCCCAGGCGCAGGAGGTGAGGGGAAGTAGGCGGGTTTCTACCGGACGTGCTGCAAAGTCACATGACAGGGCAGGGCCATCCGCCTGTGAACCTTTGGGACCATCCCCGATACTCTGCATAGGGAGGGTCTCCACGTCAGTTGATCCCAAACCTGGGTAGCTGGGATGGGGGTGGGGATGTGGCAAAGGAGTCCTGTCCCAGCGGCGGGTGGCCGGGGAGAAGAAGGCGTGGTGAGGCACCTGCTCCTCACTCTCCTGGTGGCACCTGGGTATCCTACTGTCTGTCCGTGGAAGCACAGCCCAACAGGCAGGCTTGTGGACCTCGCTAATACCAACAGGTCAGAGGTGTCCGTCTCCCGTGCGGGTGACCTGGGGCGTGCCCTGGGAGGCACAGAGAAGGAGGCAGGCTAGTTAATGCAGGGGGCTGGAGTGGGGACAGCAAGAGAGGAAGTCCCGGATGCCGCGGTGGTGTTCTAAATGTCTTATTTAATGACATCCTTTATACGCTTACCAAGTTAAGTGTGAAGTACAGATCTGTAGGGAGCCAGCCTTGCCAGTGGTGGGGCTTGTCCTACAGACCTACTTGTCCTACTAAGAAGAGGAGCCGGGTAGAATTTCTAGGTTCCTTCCAATTAGGTCTCCTTTTGAAAGCTTGTACCACACTCGCTCTTTGATTTTTTTCCTTCCCCTGCCTCAGGGCATTTCCCTGGTTCCTCATCAGTAAACGAATCTGTTCCCTTCACATCTGGGACACGGGGCCTTTGATACCGGAATTCGTGGGAAGGAAGGAAGAATAATTAACAAATTAATTAATTATCCTTTATTTCCACTTCAAACAAATAAGGTAGTTTTTTTTTGTTTGTTTTTTTGTTTTTTTTAGCCAAACAGGTTACGCGTGGATAAAGGGTCATTAGTGACCATTTGAAATGAACATGTGTGTGCAGACTCCCCACCGTCCTAGATGCCCGACACGCATATGGCTAGCTCCTTCTATGAGCTGAGCTGGCTCCGGTGGCCTGGCCCAAGAAGTGAAGCTCCATGTAGATGCTTATTTCTGTGAACCCAAAACAAAGCAAAAAGCCCACTGAATGAGTGATTCCACTTCCGCAAAAGAATCGGAAGCAGGGTCCTGAGGAGATATGTGCACATCCATGTACGTGGTGGGACTGCTCACTCTCTCCAAAAGGCGGGAGCAACCCAAGTGTCCATCAGTGGATGAAGGGATAAACAAAACGTGGTCCACCCGCACAGTAGAATATTGTTCAGTCTTAGAAGGGAAGGAAATTCGGATACCCGCTACATAGATGGACCTTGACGACCTCTGCCGAGGGGTCAGCCAGTCCCAACAGGACAGATGCTATAGGATCCCACTTACACGAGGTCCCTAGACTCGTTGAGTTCACAGAGACAGCTGTAGAGTGGTGGGGGCTGGGAGGCTGGGGTGATGGCTGCACAAGAACGTGAATGTACTTGAGCCGGGCACTAACAAACACATGGTTACGGTGGTCGTGTGCTGGTGAGTCGACAAAACACTGACTAGAGGCGTGTAGGACCGAAACCCCGTGTTTGCTCAGGACGGTGTTTCAGTGTTTGCTAATTCGGTGATTGCTGCGACTTTGTGATGCCTAAGTTCATGAATGATGAGAATCGCCCGTATCGTTTGAACGTGTTCCATTTCATGCTCTGTGTGTGTGTCTTCGGGGGCCCTGAATCCCTCCTTCACGTTCCTGTGCTGACACTCGTGATCACGGGCTCAGGCCCGAGTTCTCATACTTTGCTGTAAAGAGCGGTTCACTGATTTGATCTGGGAAATTTCAAGCTGTCCTCTGGCTGCAGATCTCAAGTCGTTTCTGATCTTTGACACGTGCCCGCCATGTTTCCGGCAAAAGTGAGTCAGTAGGCTGAGGCCCACAGGCACCGATCTGAACCTCGTGCTCTGTGCGTGTGTCGGCACATCAGCGCTGACCTCGTGCCCCGTGTTCTTATGAGGAGTCTGTTGGCAGATGAAAAATAATATTTGTTGAGAATAGAATAGGGTAAATCATATTTATACTTTACTCTAGGAACAAAAGTACTTTCCAAAGCATATTTGATTTTGAAATCACCTTTCTGATTAAGAGTCCCTTAAAAAGCACAGCTAAATAAACTACGGGTTGGAAAGGCTCCTCAGTGTAGACGTGGTTTTCCGTCTGTTAGTGGGTTGAACGGTTTTAGGCACGACACGCTTGAGCCGCCATTGTCCACTTTTCTCTTACCTGTTTTTTTTTTTTTTTTCTTCTTCTTCTCGGGAGACATTTCAGACAGGCTCATGCTCTTGATTCTTTCCTGCCATTGCAAAACCAGTGGCCCCCCCCAGCAGCCAGGCTGAAATCAAACACCTTCTCGGAAGCCAGAGGCGCACCTGGCATCCCAGTAGCAGAGGGGGGAAGCCCGATTGGTGCACGTGTCTCCAGGGAGCAGGTGGAGCACCAAGGATGACATCCCCAGGCCACCTCCTGGACCATCCGGTGGGATGTGGGGTGAGGGAGGCCCAACCTGTGCCCCCCTTCCTTCTGGATTCACAGAATTCCTGGGTCAAGGCTGAATATTCGTGCACAAGGCCGGGGGGTGATCAGAGGTGTGGGTACATAGATCAAAGGCCGTGTTTAATTTTTAAACTGTCTGTTTCCCCTTAAAAGAAAGAAAGAAATGAAGGTATCACAGGGGCTGGAGTCAAACCCTGGCCCCCACTCACAAAGTACGTGACCCCAACAAGACCTAGACTCTCCCAGCCTCGGTCTGTCCTCTGTGCACACGGTCCCGGTGTGGCAGTCTGTCCTCTGTGCACGGGGTCCCTGTGTGGCAAGGCTGCAGGAGGGAGGGCCAGTGCCCACGTGGCTCAAGCAGGTACCCGACAGGAGGCTGTTGTGCAGGGGGCGCAGCTGAGGAGGGTGTGGGGTGGGGCACCGGGAGGCCGTCTCCACCAGTCCAGACCGGGCACCTCAGGTCCGTGGCTCGTGGGGACCTAGCCTCGCGGCCACAGGCAGCCCACTCCACCCCTCGCTTCTGAGTAAGGTTGGTACCTACAGGCCCAGACTTCTGGGTTCTCTCTCTGGGCCTCCGTGTCTTTGCCACCGGCCTCACCTTGCTGCACCCCTTTCCCATGTCCCCCTCTGTCCCTGTCCCCAGAGGGGATGGTCTGGGGGGGGGGATGGGACTCCTGACTGTCCGAGAGCCTTCCGCATAGAGTGGAGCTGGGTGTGGATACACGGTGGCCACTGGTCACCGTTCCTGGAGCTGGAGCGTGGACGTGTGTGAGTGTGTGTATGTGTGCACAGGCGCGAGGGGCTGTTGGCCTCCACAGCAGAAGGGGACTGTCACTGGGGGGAGAGTCTTGGGGGAGCTGCTGGCAGGTGGAGGCGGAAGGTGGGACAGACCTGGTGGGAACTCGGGACATTTGAGTGTTTCCTGGTTCCAGGGCAGCAAGCTGGGGCGGGCGGGAAGCATCATCTACCCGGATGGGTCCAGCACATCACTGGTCACGTCAAGGGTCCTGTGGATGATAGTGCCACCACATTCAGAAGGAACATGGTCTCATTGGAGAGGCTTTTTGTGAGCCTCTGGGTGTGGTGGGTAGGGGACTGAGCCCCGTGTGGGGACAAGTGGACAGTCGGGGCCAGCTTGGGATGGACCCAGATGCCGGCCAAGGAGCTGGATGCGAGAGGCATGCCACAGGCCTGGAGGGTGGCTCTCAGGTGACGAGGGGCTGTGCGTGCTCCTCCCCTGCCTCACATGGTGACAGGTGTCCCCAGGCGTCCCCTCCGGCTCAGCAGGGGCTCCTGCGGAAACCGTGGCTCCCAGGTGTGACTGTGGACACGGGTGGTTTATGGGGCTATCCCCATGGGGGCCAGGCATCTACAAGGGCAGAGGGGGAGGGGAGGGCAGCTGTGCCGTGGCCGCTGTTCTTCAGGCTGCGGGGGACAGGTGGTCTGGACGCCCACTGTCAGGGGAGGAGGGGTGCGGTGCCGTGGCCAGGGGCCACCGGACACAGTGGTCTCATGGCGGCCACGTCAGGCGAAGTGCCGGCCGCAGCCAGCAGGCGGGGCCCAGCCGACGGCCACCTGTGTGGGACAGTTTGGAGAAACAGCAGCCTTACAGAAGCGTGTGCATGTGTGTGTAAAAGTGAGTGTGAGGGCATGTGGCCGTGAGGCAGCCACGTGTCCCCACCCGGCCTTTGTGCGTGCTTGGGGGGTGCTCGGTGCTCTCTAGCGTCTCTTCCTACAAGGACACTAATCCTCCTGGGTCGGGGCTCCGCCCGTTTCCTCAATCAACTTGAGTTACCTTCCCAAAGGCCTGTCTCCAAATGGTTACCCTGGGAGTTGGGCATCAAAGCGTGAGTTTTGGGGGGACACAGTTGAGTCCGCGGCCGATGGGGACGGAGGGAGAGGAGCCGGGGGAGCCGGGGGGTCCCGGCTCAGGGCCCCCAGGCGGGCGGGGGAACAGCCACCTGCGGTTCTGAAACAGGCAGAGGCTCCAGTGTCCCCCTGTCTGACCTGTCCCGGCGCTGAGTGCTGGGCCTGGGGACCCTCTTCCGGGTCGTACGTCTGTCTACCTGACAGCTCCCAGGACAGGTGTGTGCGGCGGGGAGGAGCCGTCTGCGGCTGTTGGGGGCACCACCCGAGCTACGGTGTTCCCTGCACGCCGCCAGGGCCGCAGACCCAACGCGGAGGGCGGACAGGGTTGAGGGAGGGTGGGGCGTGGGGCACAGGGGCTGGGCTGGCGTCTCGACCACATCGGCAGGGAGGACGCCCGATGGTTTTATAAGGCAACTGCGTGTCTGCCGCGGCTGCTCCAACAAGTCCTGGGGCTGCGGGCAACCCAGGCTGCTCCCGCTGCTCCCCCACACGGCCTCCTCTGCCTCCCCGTCTTCAGGGGGGTTCTCGTGACCCATCCCCGCCCTCCCTGACCACCCCCTTCCCCCTGGGGCTCCCCAGCCCAGAGCAAGGCGGGTGCTAAAGCGTGAATAAGGCCCCTGCTGGCCTCTGCTCTGCTCCCCGCTCCCTCCCCGCTTCCCTCTCTGGGTGCCCCATCTCCGCAGGGCTGATGGAGGGCACACCCTCCCTCCCAATGTCATCTGGGTGGGACTCTAATAAAGGTCTGGGCGCAGCTGGCTCCGTGTCTAACTCAGCGCCCGAAGGTGGCCGTGGCCTTTGATGGATATGTGACAGGCGTAACCCTTGGCGGAATGGCGTCTGGACAGCTCGCTCCCTGCACAAAGTCCCCGCTGGGCGGGGGGCAGGGGGGATGGTCCCAGAAGGGAGGGGGCCCAGGAGAGCCCTCTGCCTGAGGTCCAGGACAAGCCCTGATGAACAAGATCACTTGGTTCCACATTGATGCATCATTTTGAAACACGAGGTGCTTTCTTTCTGCTTCCTTTATTTTTATTTTTTCATTTCTCCAGCCCTACAGGGTGGGGGGCACCTCTGGTTCTGTGGGGAGCAGCTGAAACTGTCGGGGGGGGTGTGGGGGGAGTGTTGCCGAGGGCATGTGGTGGCCACGGAGGGAGAAGCACGGAGGGCTGAGCCTGGGGTCTTCCAGACTTTATCTCCCCGGGTGTTTTCCTCAGTTCCCTCCCTCTCTCCTCCTCTGGGCCCCCCCACCCAACACGGCCCCAGATGGAGGAGGAGGAGGCCACGCTTCCTCGCTGGGTCGGTGTGGGATGCGCGGGGCTTGGAAGTTCTTGGGATCCCCCCTTGCCGGGGTGATGAGCCCACATTTGCCACATCCTCGACATCAGTGGCCTCCCTGGTCTGTTTCCCAGGGCCAGCCGTGTGTGGTTGGCCGTGATGTCGCTGGACGGGTGTGGCCTGCAGGCCTCGAGAGGCCTCGGGGGCTTGGCCAGCAGGGTGGGGCCCTGGGTCTGCAGGAGCTGAGGGGCCTCACCATGTGAGAAGCAGCCATCCACACTAGACCGTCCTCGCTTCTGACACCAGCTTCAAGTTCAAGGAGCCCCAAAACCACTCTCAGGTTGCATAATTTGCCGGAAGGACTCACAGAACCGAGAAGTTGTACTCACGGTTAGGGTTCCTGACAGCTGAAAAATACGCCTTAAATTCAGCCAGTGCAAGAGACGTGTGGGGTGTGGTCCTGGAAAGTGTGACAGTGGGGCGGATCCACGCTGATTTCCTGGCCTTGCCCCAGAATTGCCGTGTGCTTGGAGACCCCCTCCCGGAGCCCTCCCTGAGAGGCCAGGCCCCTCCTCCTGACAGGCAGGAGAGGGCCTGGAAGGGCTGGGATCAAGAAGTCCAAGGGGGCTCTCCGTGCCTCCCAGGGGACCCTGCCAAGGCCTTCCTGGGGGCACAGGCTCTCCCTCCCTTCTCACAGACCCCCAGCTTATGGAGGGGTATGATAACGGGAGTCCCTGACCCAGCGCCGCGAGTATGTTCTGAAAAACCTCTAGATGAACAGGTATTTTTAAAAACGGCAGTATATTTAAAATGCGCCCGGGATCTTTCCATTTTCACATTAAGGGAAACTTTGTGAAGTGAATCATCAGCCAATTTGTGTCTTTTAAACATCAGATTTGCCTAAAAGGAGACACACCTGCTAATCTTGTATCACTGGTGATTCTACTACAAGAAAGGATTTTGGGGGTGCCAGGGGCATCCAAACTTGCACAAAATAACCATGCCTTAGAATTCCTTGGTGCTTCGGTTTTTTTCCAGAATGCTTTTGTGTTTGTCAGCACATCTGACTCCCACAATGGCTCTCTGAGGGGGCCTGCGGGGGGTAGGGTTGGGAGCTAAGTGGCTTTTCCCCTGGTGGAGATAAAGGCACTGAGGGTCAGAAATTAAGGGGCGTCCCCAAGATCACGGTGTGTAAGGTGGCAGAGCTCCATGCATTGTGTGCCAAGAGGCCCCAGGGTGCCTCTACATTTCATGCACACACACATGCATACATGCACGTGCTCCTACACATATGCACGCACACGAGCACACATGCACATGCATATATGTGCACTTACACACATGCATGCCCTTACACCATGCATGCACAGGAGCACACATGCATACATGCATGCACACGAGCATACATGCACACGTACATGTGCGCTTACACACAGGCACACACCCACACATGCACATGAATACACGCATGTGCACTCATGTACATCTACACACATGAACACGAGCACACACGCACATGTACACATACGTGTGCACTTGCACACACCCACACATGCACGCACACCTACACAGTGCACACGTGTGCACACATGCATGCACACGGCCACACATACACTTGCATGCACACACACGAGCACACATGCACGTGCATGTATGTGCACTTACACACATGCGTGCGCTTACACAATGTATGCACACGAGCATACGTGCACATGCACACATACATGTGCACTTACAGGCACACACCCGCACGTGCATACATGCATGTGCACTCATGCACACGAGCATACACGCACATGCACACATACGTGTGCACTTGCACAGAGGCATACACCCACACATGCATGTACACTTACACATGCACGCACACCTGCACAGTGCACACGTGCGCACACATGCATGCACACGGCCACACAAACACTCGCATGCATGCACGCGAGCACACGTGCACATGAGCACACATGCACGCACACGTTCACATACAGGCATCCATTGTTAATAGCTAGCAGTTAATAGCTGTTAATAGCTAGCAAATCCTTGTTGCCTCTGATGCATTTCTGAAGGTCCAGTTTGACCTCCTACATCTGCATAAAACCTTCAGACACACAGGTCTTGACCGCGGTGGATCTCTGGTGTGTCCTTAGCTTTCTGGAAATCCCTCCCATGGCCATTTGCAGGAGGAGGATTGGCTCACGGCAGATGGGAGGTTGGTGGCAGCGTCCTGTGCTCTTGGGGGTGCCTGTTGTGTTTGCTTTCACTGTGGATCATTCAAGGTGTAGACAGGACTGCATCCTCTCACCAGGGGAGGCCTCCCGGGGAGGGGAGATCATCCCAGGAGCAGCCAGAGGGACAGAAGAGTCGTTCATAGCGGCATACGGCTGGAACAACAGGGTTGCACACGCACACGTGCACACATGTGACAGTGCAGCCCACAGACACAGGGAGGTAGTGTGAGGGGGAGGGAGACCGAGGGAGGGGCTCAGCTGCCTCGGGGACGCTCCCACTAATGCACAGCGTCCGGGGGCCTCGGGATGCGGCTCTTCCCTCGAGCTTGGCCCACCCGGTCCCTCGGCACCAACAGCCATATCACCCCTAGTGAGTGAGGGCTCGTGAAATCTATTTGTCCCGCAGACTGTGGTATAATTGCTGCACGTTAAAGACGGTTGCGTTTGCACCGGGCTGTGACCCGAGCTGGGTCAGCACAGACAAAGCTACATCGCCTTTAACCTGTCACACCCCTGCGCCCCTGTCAGGCCAGGTGTCCACCCTGCCCCCCCCCCCCCCCCCCCCCGCCCCCCCCCCCCCCCCCAGGTCAGACCCCACGCTCACTTCGCGGGTGCGGACTTCTCTTGCACATCTCCTTCCGAGCAGAGTGCAATGCCACCCAGACTTCGGGGACGCTGAGGGCACTTGGCACAGGCCCCACTCACCTCCCTCTGTCTTCGTTCTGGTCTGGCCCCTCGGAGGCTCTCTCTGGATCTTCCTGGCTGAGAAGCAGCCTAGAGCTGGGCTGGTGGACCGAGCCGCATGCCCGGCCACCCCCGTGTGCACGGGGGACTGTGCACGGCACCTGGCTCACACACACGGCATGTCACTTGATCGCACTGGGTGAGCAGCACTGGCCAGCTTGCCGTCCAGATGCTTCTATTTCAAGATCGGCTGGGCATAGCCCGGATCCTTCTCTGCGAGGTTGCTTTAGGAGATTATCTGATGGGGAAGAAATGGGCAGCAGGTACCTTTCTTTCACTGTAGAAAGAACTTGGCTGACTTTTCGCGTGAAGAACAGGAGTGTGTGTGTTGGGGAGAGTGGGTGCGTGTAAAGAGGGAGACACCCAGCTGGATGAAGTGTGGGGCATCCCAGAGACTCTTCTACTTTTTAAAAAACTGGTAAAAAAAAAATGTGTAGCATATAGGTTAGCATTTTCACCATTTTTAAGTGGACAGTTCAGTGGCCTTAAATACATTCACGCTGTTGTGTGTCCATCACCATCATCCGTCTCCAGAACTTTCTTCATCTTGCCAAACTGCCACTCTGTCCCCATTAAACACCAGCTCCCTGTGCCCCTCCCCCCGCCCCCGGACTCCCCCCCCCTCCCCCCACCCCACATCCCCCAGCCCCTGGACTCCCCCTGCCTTCCCCCACCCCACATCCTACTTTTCTGTCCCTACAGAGGTGGGTGGAGCCAGCAGCGAGTGGGGAACTCTCCCTGGGATCTGCAGTGTGGCCCCCTCTGCCCCCGGCACATGCAGGCTTGCTCTATGCGGAGACCCCTCTGTCGCCCGCTCCAGACCGTGCATCCCGCCCTCTGTGGGTACAGTTCTGCGGGCCAGGGGTTTGCCTCTTTGGAACCCACCTGGGCTTTCAAGCAGGTGCGGCCTGAGCTACCCAGCGGTCTCAGAAATCACCGGAGCGCCCCAGATTCCGGTCCCTGCTGGCGACATTGCAGCCTGGCAGCCGTGTTGGTGGCGGTTCATTCGCCGGCTGGAGGCGGCGGCAGAGGAGGCTTCCCCTGCACGTGGGCAGCTGCAGAAATCGGCTTGGGAGCCCTCTGGGGACAGAAGGTAGGACAGTGCCAGCCTCTCCTGAGGCCCTAGCTCCGTCACAGCCCCTCTGCCAGGCCAGCCGGTGGCCCAGCGGCTCCTCCTAGTCGTGGGTATTTAGGAGATGGCCGGGAAAAATGGACAGATGCCACCCTGCCGTTGCCCTCGGGACCCTCGGGACCCCCGGGACCCACCTGTTCCGTCGTGCCCTCTCTGGGGCTGTGCTTACCCTCAGCCCAGCCAAGACCAGCTTCTGTCTGCATCCTTGGGATCCACGGCACGGCCTCGGAGCAGACAGGTAGATGGACAGACGGATGGGCAGACCGGGCGGGACGGAAGGGGTTAACCGTGACGTCAACACGCAGCCCATGCACGGCCCACCCTCAAGTGCACATTGAAACAAGCCCCGAAGGGGGGGGGGCTTCGCTTGGAAAGTTCCATGCCGATCCATCTTCCTGTGGGAAGGAGGAGATTATTCACCGTTAAAAAGTAATAATAGCGGTGTGGAGGCACTCAGCTGTACGTTACCCAGAAAGACGGGGATAGGGTGGCGAGCTATTTTTAATGGTCTCCACGGTGACAGAGACTTTGTTTATGGTTTTTTTAGTCTTTCGTTCCTCAGCGAGGCGATTGCCGATTTGCGTCTTGTTAGAAAACGCTGCTGGCGAGCCCCTGGTGTGCACAGGAATAGGGCCCCGAGGGCGCTTGGGAAGGGGGCCCGGGCGGACCCCCGGGCCGAGGCTGCCCACACCCAGCCTGCGTGACCTCCCTGCCCCGTCCCCTGCCCGCCCCTGCAGGGGGGTGCCGCCTCCGCACGCCCCTCTGTGCCGACCACACCCGCTCCCCAGAGCCCCTGGCCACCTGCTCAGGGCAGCTGGGCGGGTCCCAGCGCCTCCCCCTGCAACCCACGTGGGGCCAGCGGGGCCACTTGCCGAGGGCTCGGGGCCCAGGGCCGCCGGCTGTGCCGCAGATGGCGCGGCAGCTGTGTGCCCCGCGGAAGCCAACTCGCGCGGCTGCTGGCCAGGCCCCAGAAGGAAGGCGCGGGCCGGGCACGCAGGTGTGAGCGCTTCCTGGGCTGGGGCCCAAGTGGGCTCGCTGCTGGCTGCCCACCGCCCAGGTGTGGGCCCGAGAGAGGGAAAGAAGGGAACTGCCGTTCAGTCTGTGGGGTTGCGGGTCGGCCGGCACCGAGAGCGTTCTTCCCCCCCGGCCTTGGACTCGCTAGTCTGGTGAACACCTGCGTCCCAGGGGCCGTCGGCCACGGAGGGGACGGAGCTCACTGGCCTCACAGCCGGGGGCGGCGGGGCCTTCTGGTGCCTTCCTACGGGTTCGTGTTGTACGCCGTCCAAGGACCCCGGTGGTGGGCGTCATTTTGTGCTGCTGTCCCCCCCCCCCCCCCCCACACCCCCCTCACACCCCGACTGATGGGAGGCACGGGGTTCAGAATGCCTCGTGGCTGCAGCAGGTGTCGAAGGAGAACCAGACCCTGCTGGCCTCCCACTCGGACCAGGCACCGGCAGGGCAACTTGGACACAAAGTCAGGAACCTGAGAGCACGTGGCCTTCACAGCCCCCAGCTGCTCCGTAACGTGGGGAGGACATCTTGCAGGGACCGTGAGGAACAAGCAGGCGGCCCCCACCGACGAGGGTGACCTGGGTGGGCCGGGGTTTTTTGTTGTGGTCTCTCTCACCTTTTAGAAAATTGCACCTGTGGGTGATACTTTCAGGCAATTCTCCCTCCCCTGTTTTCTTTCCTTTTTTTTTTTTTTTTTAATTTTTTTAAATGTTTATTTCTTTTTAAAGGAGAGAGAGAGAGCACAGCAGGGGAGGGTCAGAGAGAGAAGGAGACACAGAATCCGAAGCAGGCTCCGGGTTCCGAGCTGCCGGCACAGAGCCCGACACGGGGCGCGAACTCACGAACTGTGAGATCGTGACCTGAGCCGGAGTCGGACGCTCAACCGACTGAGCCCCCCGGGCGCCCCTCTCACTCCCGTCTTCTTAAAAATCAGCAGAGGCCTTCGGGAAAATGCCCAATTTCCTTTTCCCTGAGAGAGGCTGGAAGATAGGCAGGGGAGGCCGAATGTGACGGGGAAAATCTGACGGGGTTGGGGGCGTCAGGGGCCTCGGGGGTCCGCCACAGGGTCGGCAGAGATCACATCACACACACCTGTACATGCGGACACACACGCATGTACGCGCATCACACTCGTGCGTGCACATATACACACACACGTCCACATTTCTCATTTAATTGTCCCCACCGGGAGCATTCATTCACTCGTCTGCTCAGCAGAC